TTCCTAATAAACAATCGTGGTACAAAGCTCAATAAAAATATTAAAAAAAAAAAAAAATAGAGATGTCAGTGACAAAAATATATCGATTTATTTCTTTGACCAACATCGCTTTGGGAAGGAGGGTAATTGTGCACTTTAGGGTCCCAAACGAAAATTGATGAAAAAAAACAATCGTAGTGAATATCAAACGACGCGTATTACTGCTACGTACGAATCCGAAGGCGGGAACTGATTTTTTAAACCGTACAAAAATTATTTGCAAAAAACCGTTTCATTCAGCTCAAATTTGTCAGCACTAAATTCAAGTTAATAAATGCATTAAATGAACAGATATTGGTATATGGATGTTCACTATAGTTTACTTTTACTGAATTAGTAAGAAAAAATCGCGAAACTTAATGATTTAATTGAATATTTATGCGAAAACAATGTACAAAAAACCGGTGTCTCCTTTATTCCGCTAGTTGCAGCTAGGTGTGTTAAAAACATGGATGTGCTTGGTGTTTCCAATATATTACTATAATGGCTCTATTATGTATGGCGACTGGTGTCTAGTTACTGGTCTAGTAGCCATGGCTAGCAGTACCGTATTTTGTATTATGGATAGCGATTGAACTCAGTATACATAAAAGCCAGACATCATCCGAATTAACTTTTTTGACATGTACATTTCGAAGTAATTGCCAACATTGCTCCAATGTGTTTATGAATTTATGTGAACAAATAACAAAATCGTCATAACCGGGAAACAGAAAAATGCCCTACTGCCGACAGTCAGTAGTCAATTTTAATACGTAATGCGAATTTTAGTATATGGTTGACCGTCGGCTATCAGTCGCCATACATAATAAGGCCATAAGTTAAGGTTTTAATTAGCGATGCCAATAACAATAAATGTGAAAGATTTTAAGAATTTTAAAATTATAGGAAGTTTAAAATAAATTTTGAATTTTACAGTTTTTCGCCACTAGTCTTGAATTTGACTATGAAAAAGTTAATGAAAACGATGCGAAGTATATAAAGAGTGAAATAGATAGACTTGCGCCAACAGAAATTAATTTGAAAAGTGAAACACAAATAATTGGAGACGAAGTTGCGAATAAAATTACCTCTATTTAATTAAATCGAGTTTTGTAATTAAAATGATAAACAATTTCCGCAAGAAAGAAACATTTTTAAGATGTTTTATAATTTTCAAATTCGGGATGCACCAATATTAATTTGTTTACTTACATTTTTCGTTGTTCGCCAACTTTTGGAATTTTCCATTGCTCATTTACATTTTTATTTTTGTTTTGTTCTTTTTCTATTCCAGTGGCTTTTACCTGATCCGTTTCGAATCGGATTGCAAACCAGGGCTGATCTTCTGCATCAAATATCTAGATTATCAGCCCTATTCTGCATTTCGATTACGTTTCCGCATTCTGCTCCGCAACAATCGTAAATTGGTATTCTGAGTTACGATCGAATCGAAAGAAGAAGAGGAAGAGCGAAAACATCTGGGAAATCAGCTGGTTTCCTAGGAATGTGTGAAATCGAAACAAAACAAAATAAATATTTGCCACCAAATATAGCAGCATATGAAGTTAAAATTTGTAAATATTTTAAAATAACTAAATATATCTAACATCATTGTAATTTAAAAATAAAACTTCGTTTGTGTTTAATTTAAGTGGAAACATAATTATAAAAATGAAATCCCTCTCCGCGGCGTTATTGCTTGAAGAGGACGAGTCCCAGATTGCAGATGCGAAAGTTGAAAGGCGAAGATTTAGGGACATGTTTGATCCTTTTTCAGATGAGTGAAGAATCATAAGAAATTCATCTTTAACTGCATTACTCACCGTTCGAAGCTAGTGAAATTATGAACTCCATAACATTTATATCACTACAGAGTGGAATATTTGAACGCAAATGAATTCGATTTTGGAAGCTGTCAGGAGGGGAAGAACAAAGCTTATCCTTCCATAGCAAATGAAACTCGGGACAACATACGCCCTTCTTTTTAAGTTAGTAAACACGAGTACAATAATAACAAGTAAGAAAGTCTAAGTTCGGGCGGAGCCGAACATTAAATACCCGGCGCAAGTATTTTCCAAAAATTTATAATATTCTTATTTCTCGTCTAAAACTTATTGTAAATATCAATTTTGAGTGAATATTCTTCAGTAGTTGCTAAAATATCGCAGTTTTCGTATTTCTGAAAATTACCGTTATATGGGAGGTAGGCGTGGTTATTGTCCGATTTTGCCCATTTTCAATACCATCCGTCCTACGGCAGAAATAAGTGCACATACCAAGTTTCGTTGAGATATCTCAATTTCTACTCGAGTTATCGTGTGCACAGACGGACGGACAGACAGTCACCGCTTAATCGATTTCTCTTTTCATTCTAATCATTTATGTATACATTTGTCTATATCTATCTCGATTCGTTTTGCCTGTTACAAACAACCGTTATGTGAACAAAGTTATAATACCCTTGTGCACAAGTGCGCTCGGGTATAAAAACATCTTTTTTATGTACATATGTATGTACCCTGCAGTGAAACCCCAAACTAGTCAGGAAAAAAACTAGTTTACAACTAGAATTTCCTGACTGAAACCGAACTAGTTCAAAAATGACCAGACTTGTACCAAGTACAATGCGGTTTATTCATGCCCTGTTTTATTTGACTTTGACAGTTTATACAATAAAGTACACAAAATATTCTAACTTTTATTTGGGTATATTGTAAACCGCTAAATTGAGTACGTACTCGCAATTATACCATACTTGTTAAATAATGATTAAAATTCACAATGATTATTAATTAAAGCATGTTTTTTGGATAACCGTTTAATGATTAAATGCCGATATTAGCGCCTTTTTAATGATTACTAATTAAATACAAATTTTTAATTAATTCGTTAATTTTAATTACATCATTTTTTTGTTATTTTTGATTATTTTCAATTATTTTTGACTTTTTTTTAATCACACGATTAATATAATTATTTGATTAATTTCAATTATCAATCGACAAGCTTAAGTATAGCCAAAATTAACAATATTTCATAACTTCTTGAATTATTTATTTATTTTATTCTTATCCAAATCTCAAATTTTAAACATTATTACATTTAAAAAAATTTTAAAAAGAAAGGACTGAAATGCGCAAAGTTAATGAATTTAATTTATTTTAATGAAAACTTTTATTTTTATCTTAGTTCACTCAAAAATGAACTAAAGTATTCGTTTTATTTTTAACTAAAATATTTTCTTTTCCATATTCAATACTATTAAAAAAGATAAAAATGTAATATTTATTGTACTTGAAAGCTTTTACTTTTAATATCATTTAATGGAAAATGCTTTTAAATTTATGTTCGAAAGTTTGAAATATTTATGTATTTATTTCTCCTTTTAATTAGTACTCAAAAAATTTAACACTAATTATTGGCAAATATAGGACTGCTAAATAAAAATATGTAATGTATTATGTAATGTACTTAATCAAAAGTTTTTTATTGTATATTCATGAATTCATTTTATTTTTTGACTTCCAAAGTAGTTGTTTTGGTCCATAATTGGATTAGTATTTTCTGTCTATTTTGAACTAGTATGAGACTGGTATATTTCTGACCGAAATCTGACAATTGCCATCTCGTAGGACATCCCCATGTTAAAAATACCAGTTGATTGCACGGAAAAAAGATAGTTGGCTGAGTAGTAGGGCATGCGGTTCATACTAGCTGTGAGGTAGTTTACAACTAGTACATTTGACTGCAGGGTATGTATGTACTTATGTACATATATCTATTGATTTTATATAAAAAGAATTGTATTCAGTGCATTTCAAAGTCTTATTTATAGATAATGAAAACAAAAACGCTTGACCTTCTTCATTGAAAACCCGGCACAATATCCCTTTTGGTTACCATTATTTTTCGTATTGCCCGTATTGCTGCTCGCAAAGACATAGAAATCGAGAAAATTCCTTTATGATGACTTTTACTATCATGCACAGTATATTTTACTTAATTTTTGTATAAAATTTTATTATTTAAACATTCTCCGCCAACAAATTTGTGGCTTAAAAAAATGGGCACCCCTATGCTGTAATCCGAAAGTTCGTAGTTACGAATTGGTAGCTCCGTTCCGAAAATTCGAAAATTGGTATGCTGTAATCCGATCGTAACTATCAACGGCGTTGCCAACTAAAATAGTGAAATTCGAAGTTCTTAATCAGCTGCTTTGACAGAAACCAATCAAAATAAATATAATCGCAAGTGAACAGTGAAATTAAAAAAAAAATTTTTAATCGTATTTGAAAAAGCTTTTCCTTAATTAAGTAAAATATAATGGATTCAGTGGCCAGTGCACTTTTGTCTCAGGAGGAAGAACATGCTGCAGTCAACTGTTGCATTAATATACAAAGGAGATTGCTACGAGACAGTTCTGATCCATTTAGCTTAAATGATAAAATGTAAGTTTTATAATTGATTTCACTCATACAAGATTTGTAAAAAATTTCCGCCTCAACAAAGACGCATTTAAAAGCGTTTTAACAATTATGGAGGAAGAGCTTGGGCGAAGTGTAAAATCATCATCGGTGACTCCTATAAGTAGATTGATGGCAGTTTTGAGATTTTTCGCTGAAGGAAGCTACCAACACGGTGTTGGGAAAGATTTTGATGTGGGGTTGGCGCAATCCACGTTCTCAAAAACATTGACAAAAACTTTAAACATCTTGGAGCGCCGACTGTGCCCAGTATGGATTCAATTGTGAATGACGGAGGAGAAGAATAAACGAGCCAAAATGTGGTTTTACAGGAGAACGCAATTCCCTGGCGCTGTTATGTGTGTGCACGGCTCGACCCTATTAAGCTGGCATTTCAGGGTACTATTTTATAATATATATTAATAGAGCCCCCCCCCCCCCCCCCCCCTAAATTTCATTCTGGCTACGCCGATGCAGATACCAGGTTTGGCGATATATCTCCTTTATGTAGGAAACTAAACCCAATAAATTGTGTTACCGGTTTACGTACCGATCACATAGCAGTGAAAATCACTTAGATTGGTGCCATATAAAGTATATCCTCCATACCTCTGATTGTTTAGAGGCGATTTTTCATATAAGTATGTAACTCCTCTATCGATGTATGCAGATGTATTCAAAATCAGTAATCTGTCAAACTAAAATTTGCAGATGTTCATGAAAGGTATGAAGCCTTCGGCATAGCCGAAGACAGCGCTGCTCTTACTTGTTCTACCTTATTTAGGTAAATACATGGTGGTTATTAAAAACGAAACTCTTACTTAAATAAAAAAAAAAAAACGTTTCTGTCATAACAGGCCTATTCATAAAATTTTCCAGTAAGTACTAGCAGCCAGAGAATAAAAGAATCATGGCGAGTAAAATTGAGGGGAAGACTAAAATATCAGAAAAAGTGGGAAAATTTTCCAATACGGAACCCGGCTTAAAAAAAAAACAAAAATGAGGGGGTTCAGAGCGGCTTTGTGATTGTAAATCTGAAAACTCCACCCTCCGGAGGCTTACAGTTTTTATGAAAATTGAATTTTAAGTTGCAAAAAATGTCAACTTCAACCTCACTTTTTGCTTTGTAAACCAATTGTACTACAATGTCGGTGCTGCCACGCAACAAAAAATGACCAAAAAAAAGCACTGAAAACGAGAAACAATAAAAACGGCCATTGTAATTAATATTTTTTTTTTAAATTAAATATCGATGTATAGAAAAAAAACTGATTTAGTCTAAAATCGAGAGATTTTGTAATAAAAATTTTAACTTAGTTATTTATCGAAGTATTGATTTTTATGGAAAAAGCGCCGCAGGCGAAAATTTCATTTATTATCAAATTTTCATTATTTATCAAATTATGGATGTACGTTTTCTACATTTGTGTACTTTAAATTATAATAACACCAGTAAATATTATTTCCCCTCCGAAAAAAAATTATACCGTTATGATCAGGAGTAAGACCCCTATCGATCCTAATATTATTATTTTTAATAAGAGCAATGTACGTATTGTACACTTATACCCCTAATAATACGCACTTATTTGTGGTGTATTTTTTTTAACGTATGGTAGCATACATTTTGTGTTACTGTCAGCCATTGTTATTTCTGCTTGTTTGTGAAATGTGCAAACGTTTGTGAAGACATTTATTAACGCGTTTTACTTAATTAATTAATTAATAATTGTATATTAAGGTATTGCAAACGCATGCGAACCATTTAAGGATAATATATTTGTGTAAATAAAAGTGATAGGTGTGGAGTTATAATAAAATGTGGCGATAGCAGGCGGGATATTTTAACAACAAATAACTTAAGTACTATTAGCAACAACATTGTGAAAGTGATAAATATAGTTAAAGGAGACCTCCATTAGTATCCCCACCGAGTTTCATAAACAAATTCACTATACTTTGCACGGAATAGCAATTGGTTCCGTAATGGAAATCTCAGCCGAAAAAGTTATTGAACGCAGTAAAACTTACGCCATTCTGACTTTCTGATAGGTAAGTAAGTTTTTTTCTAACAAATATTTTTGATACCACATCATGACGCATTCAAAAATAAAAGAATCTCCTCCAAGCACCCTTCCTTGTTCCCATTTTCGTTTAACGATCAACTGACAAATTCGGTCAGAACCTTTCAGCATTATTATCTATTTTGGTATATTTCTCAATATTTTGCGTAAATTCCGTCCAACAAATTTTTTCATCCACAATTGAATAATTTTATACGGCAGCCATAGTTGACGCACGGAAATTGGAAAATTAGAAATTAATAGTAAATTAACCAAACAAAACTTTTCTTCTTTTCTTTTGTTTATTCACGAACACATGTTGTGGTCAGCAGACATTTACTTATAAGTTTTCGTAGGTAAAATTTTTTCCAGCAGAAATTGGCAGATTTCAGTGGCATTTACGCTCTCGATCTCCCCCACTTTGTGAGATTTTAGGTACAGAACACTGCTATTAACTTGTTTAGTTCTATAAAAGGAAAAATTTCCAAAATATTTTTTTGTAAAACTTCCATTCCGTTAAATGCAACGGTTTTATTTTTAATTTTTGTATTACTAGCACTTAATAAGTATAACTTGTATGCTTTTCTTGATTACCTTGGCATTTTGGTGGCCTTTTCAAACAATTGATTTGCACTTATGTTTTCCACCTTCGAAACGCCATGTTTTATATCATGATTTTTATACAGAAAATCTAAAAATATATGTATATTTAACTATGTATGTGTGGTCTTTTAAATGTTGGTACTTTTTCGGCTTATTTAGTACACTTTTTTTTGGCCATTTGGCACAAAATTAAAAAACTCATTTATCATCCCTGATGTAGAATATTAGTGTATAGTGTATTTGTGTTCGTATGAAATAGTAGCTTATGTCGGGAGGCTGGCTTTAGTAAAATGTACCATTTCCTATATTCTTTAAACCACAAGGAATTGTTTTATGAAACTTTATGCGAATATTGACTTGCTAGCATCGCCATTAACATTATCGTCTTTTACGTTTATTTTCCAAGAGTTCTTCAACGACTCGGCGCCAGTGAGTCTTTCGCAATCGTATGCTGCGAATGGTTCATTATACTAAAGCAGTGTTGCCAACTTTTCAGTTTCAAAAAGCACCAAACCTTGGAAAAAAGAGTGTTTTACCGCACTAAAAGCACTAAATTTTTTTTTAATCAAAGGATACTCTTTTTTATAACGGTTTGTGGTAAACAAAAAAAAAAACTAAACAATATTTACATGTATAAATAAATACACATTCATGTTTGCGAAACTGGTACATCTGGAGAAGGAACAATCGAATCGCAACAAACGAAATTTAATTCTAAAGGGGAAGAGTAATACTTAATGATACCCTAAGTAGAAATGAGCGACAAAATTTGTTGTTTTATTATATAACCTCAAATATTGCGAAAAACCGTGTTTATACACTTAGAGGCTAGGATACCTCAAAATTCTGACGTGCTAGAGAAATTCTGCAGCTAGATTTGGATTCAGCACCGAAAAATCTATACAAAACGGTTCCACTCAGGTGGCAAAAAAATTTAAAATTTTTCGAACTGTGTAATCAATCAATAATCAAGAAAATAAAAATATAAATACTTAACTTATCTGCGTGCTAGCATTTTCAACGCGAATACAATTTAACAAAAATGCAAGAACGTGGGTTTGCTACTTCATCTTTTTATCAATCATGGTTTGCATTTTAGTGTATTTAAATTTGTAGATTCTTGTAAATTCAAAAATTTTAGTTCAGAAAAAAGCACTAAAAAGGGCACTAGGCTCTAAACCATTTTTTTGGCGTTTTAATTTTCAAAAAGCACTAAATCTAGTGCTTAAAGCACTAAGTTGGCAACTATGTACTAAAGCCAGTCTTCCGACATAAGCTACTATTCTATACGAACACAGATATGTATACGTCCTAATAGGCTTGTAAAATGCCCAATACCCAAATCCCTCGCATGAGTTAGTGAAACAGTGTTGATATTTTAAGTACAATTGCACTTTTTTCAGTACAATTAATTTTAAAATGTACAAAAGTACAATTTGCCGATTTTAAGTACAACTTCAATATCAAAAATACTTTTTGTACCAAACGCTCAAATCATTCTAGCACTTTGATTCTTAATCCGTTTACATTTAAGTAAATGGATATACCTATATTTCATATTTGTTATAAAACCAAATTATGAATTGTAATTTTGAATGTAAACGTGATTGTGAACAGTAATATTAGTGATGTGCGTTATGGTGATTGCGATTTCTTATCACCGGCGATTGAAATATCCCTCATCGCTATTTATTTTGAAAAAATCTTTGGAAATACAATTTACCTAATGGCGATCCTGCAGAAATAGAAGTAGTTGAGCAATTCGGGGGTTGAAAGTAAAAAAAAGTATGTAAATTCCATGCGTTGAAATTATAAATTTCCCTTGAGGATTTCATTTTATCGATTGTGATCTCATTTTATGTTCATTAATATGAACTGACCTATATAGTTGTAGAGTTTTAAAAAGGTATTTATTGTTGTTAACAATACGAGAAAAGTTTGAATAATAAAAATTTTCTATTTGATTGTCGAACCACAAAAATCACATAAATCTAAAATTTCCAAAATTACAAAGTTGAAATGAACACAGTACAATAAAAGGTAATAACACAAATACAGACCCTACAATACTCCCCCTTCTAGAGAATTAATGTTATATAAATTAAAAGTAACTCGTTTCTTATTTGATGTTGTGTTATTCATTGCATTAGTGTTTGTTTCTGGTATTAGTTCTGTTTCAATGATTGCTGGTTTTAGTCTGTCTATCGGAATTGTTTTAACCTCATTATCTACTTCAAGTTTGAAATATTTTTTGTTTTTTTCAACAACCTTATAAGGTCCTTCGTATGGTTGTTGCAATGATCTTTTATTAATAACACGCATAAAAACAAATTTACAAGTCTCCAAATCCTTTGGTATATATACACCAGTATCAGAATTTTGATTATGCCTTAAATTTGATTTAACATTTTTAAAATGTTCCCGTAAATTGCCTAAAACTTCAATTGGGGAAAGTTTTTCTTCAGATGGAACAACAAGTTCACCGGGTGGGCGTAAATTTTGCCCAAAAACCATCTCAGATGATGTGGCTGAAATACTTTCTTTATACATCGATCGTAAACCAAGAAGTATTATCGGCAGCTCATCATACCAATTGTTGATTCCATTTCTAGCCATTATCGT